CCTTTTCCTATCTGGGCCTCAGTTTCTCTTTCTGGACAGATGATACAGTGGTTAAGAGCCAGATTAAGACATGGATTAGAACCCTAACCTTATCGCTTCTTTGTTGTGTGACCTTGAACATGTAACCTCACCTCTCTGAGCCTTAGGAGTCCAATAACAGTACCCACCTGTTTAGCTATTTTGATGAGTAGTCAATGGGTTAATGCATGTGAAATCCATGGCACTAAGTGCTCAATAAATATTAGCTGTTCTTTTTATTAATCCAAGTGATGAAGGATATGGAAGAGAGGTTCACTAAACCCCCTTCTGACTTTCACATTCTTTGGTCTAAAGTTCCCAAAGATTTTCCCTTGGGAGAGAAGGAAGAGAGAGAAAGTTTTGGGGGATCCTCCCTCCCCATTCCTTCCTCAGCACAGCCCAGCTTTATATCCTGGAGCTGTGAATAGGAAATTGATATTCTAGTGGCCCCCTAGAGGGATGGTAGATTAGGCAGCATCTAAAGAAGGGTGGGTCAAGGTTAGACCCTCAGGTTGTTCTGGATGGGCATGAAGCTCTGCACAAGACTTTGCCTGTCTCTGTCTCTCTCTCTCTCCTTGTCTCTGACTTTCTGTCTTGCGCTTTCTCCTTCCCTGCAAGTGAGCCTGCCCTTCAACCCTCTTGTGTGCTTCTGGATGTCTTGATGTTTGGTGCATTTTGTCCTAGATGCCTCAGTCACATTTCTCCTTGTGTATATATCGGTATACAGTCAGCACTGCATAACAATTCGGTCAACAATGGACCACATGTATGGTGGTGGTCCCCTAAGATTGGTACCATATAGCCTAGGTGTGTCGTAGGCTGTACCATCTAGGTTGTGTAAGTTCACTCTACTATGTTCACACAACAAAATCACCTAAAGGTGCATTTCTCAGAATGTATCCCTGTCATTAAGTGACACGTGGTTGTGTGTGTGTCATTTTGGGTGCGTGCTTGGGGTGTCTATGTATGTCTGTGTGTATGTGTGTTTCAGCATGTCCATGTTGACATATTAATTTATGCATACACATATCTTTCTGGAGTGTGTTTTTATGCATAAGTGGGTATCCGTACCTATTTATGTCTATGCATGCACATCTGTGTGAATGCATGAGAAGATGTGTGTGTGTCTATGCCAGTGTGCCTCAAACAAGCCCATCTCTCTGTCTGTCTGTGAGTAATATGTGTACATGCTTTGGGACATGCCTGTCGGGGGATGTCTACCTGATGTATGACTGTGTATTCACATCTGTGTGTCTGCATGTACAACTGGTCACTGTATATGAGTATATGGATGCTTTTGCGTGCATTCTGGTGTAGTATGTAGGCACGTGGGCCAGGTTGTATACACGTGAGCATATGAGATCTGCTTGTGCCTGTCTATGCTGATATTCAAACACAGCCATGGCCCACCTCCATTATCCATCTGAAAAAAAACAAGTAGTTCTCTTATTTTTCAGGATATTACCTCCCTCCATTTTCAAGAGTCACACTAGGTAGAAAAAGACTCCATAGGACGGGTGTGTCCTGAGAGCTTTTTGAGGTAAGTCACTCCCATTGGACCAATTTAAATATCCTCTAAGAAAATTCTGTTTCCCACAATATCACCCCAGCCTCTTAAGCCATTCAACAAATTTAACAGAGTCATTCAACTAGTGTTCAACAAACTCACTACTCAGTGTTGGCCAGTGCTGAGTGATGCTGAGGACACAGGAGTGACCAACACAGCCCTGGGCTCTGCCCTCATGGAGCTCTCAGTCCAGAGGGGGAAACAGACCAGTCACAAGACAGTGACAGCTCTGAATGGACAGTGCTGGAATGAGAAGGCCCAGGCAGAAGGATCAGAACTAGGATGAGGGAGGCACAGGCAGAGGGGTCAGAGCTGGAATAGGAGAGGTACAGGTATCTCTAGAGCCCAGATATGGCAACTGATTCAAACTTATAGGTTCAGGGTAAGGCACTGGAGGGCTAAGTAGGGATTTTCCATGGAAGAATAGGGAGAGCTGGGAGGGAGAGTTCCCAGCAGAGGAATCAGGTTGTATAAAGGCCAGAGACCCATGGAGCATGGTTGAGTCCTGTTAGAGAGTAGAGATCTGGGGCTGTGTTCACTGGTGACGCCGGAGCCATCAGCAGGAGTCCGACCTTGGGGGACCTTATGCAACATGGTGGGGAGTTTGGACTCTGTCCTGAGGCAATGGGGAAACAAAGAGGGTTTTAAGCAAGGGAACAAAATTGTCAGATTTATGTTTCAGAAAGATTATTCAGATTTTTGGAGAAGATGACACTACAAGCTGAGAGATGAGGAAGTAGCTTCTATAGGCATCTGGGCGAGAAAGGATGGGACCATGAGGATTGGGACGAGGGGGTGGGTTGGAGAAAGATATAGATGGAAGAACTAATTCTTACTTTGTTATATGTTTGCTGTGGGGGGTAAGGGTGAGGGAGGAGTCCAGTGTAGGGGATAGATAATAGTGTTGTTTACTGATTTGGGGACACAGTTAAAGGAGCAGGTTTAGGAGGCAGGAGATAATGAGTTGAACTTTGGACATGTTGGTGAACCAGACACAGTCCCTACTCCTAGATATTTTTTTAGACTAGTGGGAGAGCAGACCTGGATAAATTAAAGACCTCAATGATCTCATTAGTAATTTTTAGTAATAATTTACTACTTAGGGTTGAGGATTGGGAAAGCTTCTTAGAGGAGGTATCATTTGAACTGAGTCTTGCGGGATGAGTTCACAGATAGGAGAAGAGAGGAGGGCAGTTCAGGCAAAGAGAGCCAAACAAGCCAGGGCTTGGACATGTGAGATGGATGGAACAGAACAAATATATTTGACAGCTGCACCCTCTGCTCCCTCCACCAAACTCATCAATCAACTTTCTATCCTCTATCCCCTAGCCTGACCAAAAACTCTCAGGAAAAACCTGTCTCATGCCCACAAGCTGCCTGAAATATACGACCCTGGCCCAAATGAGAACCTTTTTTTTCATTAAAGTGAAATTCACGTAACATGAACGTAACCCTTTTAAAGCAAACAGTTCAGTGCCCTTTAGTACATTCACAGTGTTGGGAAACTACCACCGCTAACTAGTGCCAAAACACTTCCAAATGAGAATCTTCAGTGAACCTTCTGGTTTTAAATTTAAATGCTAGTAGTGCTAATAATTATATCATTCATTGAGCTTATTATCTTACTATGTGAAGCTTTTTATGAGCATGATCTTATTAAAGTCCTCATAGCAAGCCTATAAGGTTGGTTTTATCATCCCCATTTTGCCAATGATTTAAGTAAGGCCCAAAGAGTTTGAAGTGAGTTTCTTTGGGTTCCACAGCTAATAAGGGAAGAGCCTGGGCACAGCCTGGTGTAACTCTAAATTTCATGCTCTTAACCACCACTCTGGACTGCCACGCCCCACCTTTTTTCTTTCTAAAGCATCAGAAATCTGTCCCTGATAGCCTGTGGTTCTTGAGAAACTTGCCTGTAAGCCTGAAACAAAATATTCCAAAATGTTATAAAATTTAAAAAGGTCTCTTAATGGGAGAGAGACTTGACTTTCTATTATTTTTGCATTCCTTGGTACATTAACCAAAGACCAGTCAACCAGTTGCCACCCAGGCCATTGGCAATGAGATATTAAGTGAGCATGGAGAACAAGGAATTTTGGTCAGAGTGTGATATGTTTGTGTTTCAGATCTCAGAATGATGATAAGGATTATGGTGGGGCTGGGGAAGTGTTGGCTGAGACGGAGTGAAGGAAAAGGTCACAGAAGAGAAGAAAGTCATGGTTCTTTCTGTCTGATTTCACAGCTCATGCCCATGACCACTGAAGTGCCTCCTTCCCAGGAGAATGGCAGGACTTTATGTAGAGAGATGGGTAAAAGTTTGAAAGATGACAAGGATGAAGGAGACAGACAAAAAATGAATTTTTATAAGGGAGTGGAGGAGTTATACTCTAGAAGTGCTCTGAGGAGTTTCTGATTCTGATAATGGTTGAGTAGCTCCTATTGTATCCAGCATCCTGAAAATAACAACTACGAACTCAGAATAAAACATTTTAAAAAAATTAATTTCATGAAATCACTGGAGAGTGAATAAAAGCAGGCAGATACTGAAAGGAGTTGGAAGAAGGGAATTTCCTGTTTCTTATAGCTTTTGGCCTGAAGACAGGTCTTAGACGGTACCTTGAGGTGTCTCAAATCCAGATAGAAACTTTGTAGTTTTTCTGACTTGAAAAACCAGAGGATTGAGTTCAGGGTGACTATATCACCTAGTGGTAGTGGTGGTAGCTTCTCAAAAAGAAGAGACCCAGAGATGAAGAGCCCCAAATTCTATGTATAAACTCTGTCCAAACTTCTGACTAATTGTTGAACTGCTTATGCACTGGCAAATTACAAGTGATGCCAGCCAAGTCTAAAAAAAAACTGAAATGAGATTTCAGAACTAAGCATTTGAGCTCAGCCAAGTTAACTACTCCCAAACAAAATAAAACAATTCAATATTCTTCAACAGAACATAACAGAATGCAGAGTCTCTACAATGTATCACTTGTAATATCCAGGATAAAATCCAAAATTACTAGGCATATGAAGATACAGGAAAATATGGCCATCCTCAATAAAAAAAAGCAAGTGATGGAGACCGACCCTGGCATGATCCTAATCTTGGAATTTAGCTGACCAGATTTTAAAAGCACCTACAATGTCTATGCTCAAGGATATCAAAGTGGTATTGAGAAGCAAGAGGTATTGACCCTACCTTCTGACTCTGAGGCTCATTGGAGATAGTCAAATGAGTAACCTTCATTGGAGAGAGTGTTAGGAAAGCTGTGCTCTTGAGAGAAAAGCCTATTCTGAGTAGGATTGGGAAATGGACAAGTGGTTCATTTGTTAAGCAGATATTAATAGAACACCTACTATGTGCCAGACACTGTTCTAAGTGTTGAGGATATAGCAGTCAGCAAAACAGTCCAACCTCTGACCCCATGGAGTTTACATTCTGAATGTGTCCAGGAATTTAGGTCAAAGATATTCTGCCCAGGAACCTACTTTGGGAAGGGACACGAAAGCAGGAAAGAAAAAAATGGCATCTTATAACAAGCCAGCTATATTTGACTAATACAATGACTATATTTGTTATTGTAGCTAATGATTATTGAATGACATGTGCCAAGAACTATGCTGAGTGGCCTACATTCAATACCTTGTTTAATTTTCCCAGCAGGTCTGTGAGATTTGTTATGTATTATGTGATGTTATTATTTACAGTTTACAAATGAAGAAGCTGAGGTCACCAACTAGGGCACTGCAGAACCAAAACTTGTACCTAGGTCTGTCTGTTTACAAAGATCGATCTCTTAATCACTACACAATACTGTAGCCTGCCATGCAAGGTGTTGGAAATACTAAAAGGAACAAGAAAAGGCTGATTTGAGTGAAATCAGTTCATGTAGAGCTCAATTTGCTAATGACACATTCACTTAACTTTAATCCTTAAATAAATTGCACAACTGCTTTTTGATGACAGCATGGCTTCAGGCTCTCTTAAGTAGTTTGAATTCTTTTTTGGCATCTTTGTACTTTTCCTGCATTTGAGGATTTCAACAATTTCTGAGTCAGATTTCAACTCTGAGTCAGCCTTGGGTTTAAGGTAAGTTAGAGAGTGGGGACTTTAAAATCTCAGGAAAATGCACACAAGGTTGTTGGCATTCCCCATAATTTGAGGATTAGCTAGGTCAACATTTTATCCCTGTCTTTATGTGTTTATGCCTTTTTCTGCTGATCCCAAGGAGATTAGCAGAAAGATGTCAGGGGCCAAGAGAGAAACACTGGAAGTATAAAGAAGGCCTCCATCTTTGAACAACTGTTAGCAGGTAGATATTACCTTAAACCATCTGCTCCAAGAAGTCTGGATGGAATAAGTTAAATATTAAACAATAAAATCATTGAACTGACAAAAGATTAATATCCTTGAATATAAATAACTTCTAAGAATCAATAATAACAAAAGACACAATCATTTTACAGAAAAAGAAATATAAATGATCAATGACATGTGAAAGATACCTAACCTCGCTAGTAATCAGGGAAATGCAAATTGCAATCAAATTGAGACATCATTTTGATACTCACCAAATCAGCGAAATCTAAAAGTATCTGATAATAGCAACTGAAGGAGAGAATTTGTTCCCATAGAATCTCTTTACACAAATGGTAGGACTGTAAATTATGTGACAATGTTGAAAAAGTTTTGCTTTACTGAGCAAATTTGACTCAACAATCTCCCTCCTAAATGTGTATGCCCTGAAGATATTCATGCAAGTATGCACAAGGAGATGTATAAAAATGTCATGAAACAACCCAAAATGTCCATCAACAATAGAAAGGATATATAGACTTTGGTGCTTTCATAAAGTGAATTCATTTACACAACATATTCATCCATGAATGAAAATGAATTATAGCTACATGCATCAACATGGATTAATTGCAGAAACATAATAATGAGTGAAAAAAATAAATCACAGAGGAATATATATAGTGTGATTCCATTTACATAAAGTTTAAAAACAGGCAAAATTAATGTAATGTAACAATGTATTGTCTAAGAATAATCATATTTGCAAAAGTATAAAGAAAGACAAGAGAATGATACACAGAAAATACAGAATGGAAGTAGTTTCTGGGGGAAGGCAGAGGATATGATTGGAAAGGACAGACAGAGTGGGCTTCTAAAGTACTGATAATGTTTTATTTCCTAAGCTAAGTGATGAGTGTTCATTTTCTTTTTTTGGAACAGTCCAAAAAAAGATTTACATATATTTTATACACTCATTTGTATGTAGACTAGGTGAAGTGGGTGGAATGGTGGCTTTCAAAAGATATGTCTATGTCCTAATTTCTGGAAATTGTGAATGTTACCTTGTTTTGAAAAAGAATCTTTGCAATTGGTAATTAAGCTAAAGATCTTGAGATGAGGATATCATCTTGGATTATCTGAGTGGGTCATAAATCCAATAACAAGTTTCTTTGTAAGAGAAAGGCAGAGACAGAGATGATCATCCAGACAGAAAATCAATAAGGAAACAGTAATCTTGAACTATACTGTAGATCAAATGGATCTAACAGACATACAGAATATTCCATCCAACAGCAGCAGAATACACATTCTTCTCAAGTGCACATGGAACATTCTCCAGGGTAGATCATATTTTGGGCCACAAAACAAATCTTAACAAATTTAAGAAGACTGAAATCATATCAAGTATCTTTTCTGATCACAATGGTATGAAACTAGAAATGTATTGGACCATTTTAAAAGGTGATACACAACGTGTAATAGGAATACGAAAAGAAGAAAAAGAAAAAACAGAAGAAATATTTGAAGCATTAAAAACTGACAACCTCCCAAAATTAATGACAGACACAAACAGACAGATCCAGGGAGTTCATAAAACACTAAGGAGGATAAATACAAAACAAAACAGAACCATATATAGGCATGTTATATTCCAACTGCAGAAAATCAAAGACAAAAAAATTTTGGAAGAAGCCAGAGGGGAAAACAACCTTACCTATAGAGGAGAAAGGATAAGAATTACATTGGACTTCTCTTCAGAATCCATGCTAACAAGGAGAGAGTGGAGTGAAATTTTAAGTGTTCAAATAAAAGAACCACCAACCTAGAATTATGTATACAGCTAAATTATCTTTAAAAATGAAGCGAAATAAAGGCTTTCTCAGACAAAAACTGAGGGAATTTGTCCGCAATAGACCTACCTTGCAAGGAATGCAAAAGAGGTTCTTCTGAGAGAAGGAAAATGATGTAGGTCAGAAACTCAAATCTACATAAACAATGAAAGAGCACTAGAGAGGAAAAAAAATGAAGCTAAAACAAAATCATTTACTTTCTTTATTCCTAATTGATCTAACAGGTAACAGTTTGTTCAAAATAATAATAACAATAGTATATTCAGGGATTATAGTTTATGGATAAGTGAAATGAATTACAGCAATGTTCTAAATTATGGAGGGGAGGAATTAGGAATACTCTGTTTTCAGATACATGCAAGAACAGATACTTGCACTAATTGTGAACTGATATGCTGTTATTTGAAAAAGGACTTGAATTAATTGTAAATGCATATTGCAAATTCAAGGGCAACCACCAAAGAAAGTAAAAAAAAAAAGAAGTATAGTTGATATGCTAAGAGAGGGAAAAAAAATGGAATCATACAATACACTCAAATAAAATCAGAGAAGACAGAAAAAGAGTGGAGGACCAAAAAACAAAACAACAAAAAAAAAACAAAGAAAAATCCCACAAATAGAAAAAAGTTAACAAATGTGGTAGATATTAAACAAACTATATCAAAAATCATTTTTTTTCAAGTCTATAGATTTATTTTTCCCCCAGTTTTATTGAGGTAATAAAAATTGCATACATTTAGGTTGTACACTGTGATGTGTTTTTGTAAGACATACAACGTGATGATTTAATATACATGTACATTGTGAAATGATTATCACAATCAAGTTAATTGACACATCCATCACCTCACACCGTTACCTTTTTTGTGGTGATAATACTTAAGATCTATTCTCTTAACCAATTTCAAGTGTACAATACAGTGTTGTTAACTATCCTCTCATGTTCTACACTAGATCCCCAGGACTTCCATCTTATAACTGAAAGTTTGTACTCTTTGACCAATATCTTCCCATTTCTCCCACCCCGCAGCCCCTGGCAACTACCATTCTACTCTCTGCTTTTATGAGTATGACTTTTTAGATTCCATGTATAAGTGAGATCACACAGTATTTGTCTTTCTGTGTTAGAGTGAACCCTAATGAAACTATGGACTTTAGTTATTAACAGTGTGTCAACATTGGCTCATCAATTGCAATTTTGTCTCACTATCTGCATTTCAAGTGCTCAACTGCCACATGTGGCTAGAGGCAATCATGCTGGACAGGGTAGATCTAGAGAGAAGAGGAAATCTCATCTCTACTTCTCCTCCTTGGGCCACAATGGGAGAGGAAATTTTGTAATTAGATATCATTAAAGTCATTTACTTCAGAGATTAAAGAAGGAGTCTTGATAGCTCACCCCTTGGGAGCTGTGAGGTTGTCCAACTCCCCATTTAAACATGAATCTGTTTTGTATACCCCTCGTGTGTTGGGAGGAGTCTCCAATGCTCAGATCCTTGAAGGACTTTTGAAAAGACAATAGTTGGGTAAACCAACTCAGTGTCTGGGAGAGGATGTTCCAGGTAGAGGTGATACCAGAGCAAACATCCTGAAGGACGAGGATGTCTGCTGTATGAGAGGAACAACAAGGAGGAAGCCACTGGTTGGAGTGGCGAGAACAACAGGGAGAATGGGAGGAATAGAAAGGATAGTGCCTTGGAAAATTTGAAAACTGTAGTACATGAGGGTATTTCATTCTAAACTTCTAAGTGCTACATTTCTGTTATATAAAAATACAAATTTCTAAAATTAAAATATTCTAAGGTTCTATGAATAGAAATATTAAGCTTCTAAATTTCTAAATCACTTAGACTTTAAACTTTAAAATTTCTCAAATTCTGTGACTCTAATCTTATCGTTCCACTTTTCTTCAGTTTTAAGTCTCTCACATATATAATTAGAAAATTTTAACAATGGTACAGAATAGAGAGCCCAGAAATAAACCCACACATATAATTTATGATAGAGGAGCCAAGAAAACACAATGGAGAAAGGATAGTTTCTTCAATAAATGGTGTTGAGAAAACTGGGAACAACATGCAAAAGAATGAAACCAGACCACCATACACAAAAACTAACTCAAAATGGATCAAAGATTTGAATGTAAAACCTGAAGCCATAAAAGTCATTGAAGAAAACATAGGTGGTAAGCTCCTTGACATCAGTCTTGATGATGATTTTTTGGATTTGACACCAAAGCAAAGGTAACAGAAGCAAAAATAAGCAAGTGGGACTAATAAAACTAGAAAG